ACTCCTTCCATAATCGTCTGTACAAATTCTTGCAACTTCCATTGGTATTCCATAACATATTTAACTATTTCGACCCAAGACATTTCCCTTTATAGATGTATTTGTTATCTTTTTAAAAACTCCTTCCATAATTGTCTGTACAAATTCTTGCAACGGGAATCGTCTTGGGTCGAAATAGATGAATATGTTATGGAATACCAATGGAGGTTGCAAGAATTTGTACAGACAATTATGGAAGGAGTTTTTAAAAAGATAACAAATACATCTATAAAGAGTACATATACAAAAGCAAAAGAATCCAAATGGAGATAGTTATCTAGCAGTATTACAAGAGCAAAACGTAAGGAGAGAGTATCAACATAAACATATTTTACATATCGGTAATCGGGCAGGACAAAAAGGTTGGAGCGCTTTTTTTTGGGCGAGGGAGTACACCTATTTTCTCGTCTTTTGTTAAGCTATGCCCACCATTTCTTAATATGACATATCAGGGGAATTCTAGGGAATAATTGACATAATTACGTGTGTATACTCCCTATTTTTGCAGAAAACGACATTATGGAGACTGATACCGTCGTAAACCCTACGCCAAAGAAACTTGCACGGCTGCTTGATAATCTGTTGGAGAACGAATGGGGATTTCTTGATGAACCGTGGCCAATGTGCCCAAAGGTCAAGACATTTCATCGTTCAGAGTTGAAACCAATCGCAAGAATACAGGATATGAAAAAGGTGTTGATGAAGAGACTTGGAGCCATACCAGTGTTTTTCTTTCTATCTACCATCTGGAGTAAACACTATTTCCCTGGTCCATATAACGCACTTGAGAAAGGAATTGCATTTCTGTACTTTTTCGTCGCTGGAGAGACTATGGATTCCATGGCACAGTATATGCCAAAGTCCACATTCCATTTGATATACAGCACATTCGTCAAGGTGGAACGTGCATTATTTGAGAAGGAGATTACACGCTGTTTTGCATCTATGTTCTCTTCGCTGGAAATTCGTATTCGAACAGCCAATTGGAAAAATCCCCCAATGTTCAAGCATGTAACTCTCTACTTGGATGGTCATGACTCTCGAGCAACATATGGGGAAGATAAAGCAGCAATGTATTCTTATAAGCTAAAGAAATCGGGTTTGAGAACGCAAGTGGCCATCGATGCCAATGGAATGGTTCTCTTTGTATCCAAATCAGCGTCATGTCGTGATAACAACGATGGGAAAATGTTACAAGAGATGGGCATTGGTAAGAAGATCAACAACATGGACTGTATTGCTCTCGATGGAGGATATACACAATACATTGGCGATATTGTGGAAAAAGAAAAGTTGGACGAGCGTAACTTCTGTTTTCCCATTCGTAAGAAACGACTACAGCAACTCCACGAAGAGGAATCCAACTTTAATGCTATGTTTGGTGGATTTCGATCTACGTCAGAGGCTGTCTTTGGTGATCTCATGAAAACATTCGCCAAGTTTAATAACAAGGAGATTGTTCGAGTTGGATCCAAAAAGGAGTTTAATCTTACATTCCGCCTTTGTCTTCTGTTGCTAAATATTCGCAACTTTGTTAAAGCAGTGGACATCGAAGAGCAGCCACATCATCGTGGATGGATGGAAGAAGGAGTAGATTATCCACGAGAAAGGCAACTTGTCCCAGAGTTAACACAAACCGTTACAGTACAAAACAAACTGGAAAATGGTCTTGAGTTACAAAGAATGCAAGAGAAATTTGTAGGAATAGATGTTGCTTCAGATGATGATGATGAACAAACGTCAAATAAGGATGATGACGAGGAAATGTCAAACCACGAAGACGATAATACCAGTCTATAATTAACAAAAGTCTTTCCAAAGTTTTTAAAAACCTCTCAAACGCGCTCGCACTTCATATCAAGTATATTATGTGAATTAACCACTCTAATCGCTCGAAATGTCATGAACGGCACACCTTTCACACTACCAATTCTCTGTAGACCTTGAAGATGCTCCACACGCCATGGTCTCCAAATCTTTGCCAACGATTTTCCTTCGCGCACCTTTATGCCACATGCTGTAATAAAATGCCAACGACGTTCAGAACGAAATTCTTTGAGACCGGCCGCCACAATGGTATACTCTTCATCAGGCTCTAAAATTTGGTGGGCTGCAGTATACATCGAAACATGAATAGTTTTCAGATGTAATACATTTGTGTCTACTGTATCTTCATCATATTCGAAGATATCTGCAAGTGGGGCACTATACCTGTTATGAACACGCTTTGGCCAGGCAATAGAGATGTTGTCAACTTCCACAATTCCAACTTTGCTAAATTTACGAATGACATTAGGAGATGCATCCCTTGAAGGAAACATTCCTTTTTGCGAGCCAGCAAGGAGGCCTTTCAAGTCCAAATTATCATATGGTGTTTGTTACATCTCTGCAGATCTTGACGATATCCACCGCGTCCATTAGAGGAGAGTGTATGTATGATATCAACCATTTAAAACAACCACTGTAACATTCCTTGCGCGATTATCCTACTAAACACAACTACATTCTCCAAACAACAAAGTCTTCTTATTTTTCGCTCACCAATATCTTGAATGTGTTCATCTACTATTAAACTGTAACCCTCACTGCAAGATTCGACAGAGTAGTTCTTGTATGTGATCATCTAAAGCACTTGTATTCTCAACTGTATCTTTGTCGTGAAATACAGGGGAGAGATTACATTTTAAAAATTCTTGTGCTGTCTATTGCTATTTTATTCTGTGTTCTGTTGCCCACTATGAAGAGATATGCCAGTTATGGAAGTCAACACTCCGTTCCTTGGACTTTGGATATTTTTTATATGCCTTTTTATATCCTCTGCACATGAAGGGGCCGCTACCGAATAAAATATAAAAATATATTTGTATTCTCAACTATGTGCTTGCTGTATGATAGATACCATCCTACATGCTGTTGTGTATACAGTTAAGTATAAGCCTTTTTAAAAAATTGTTATTGTTGGTTAACGTCATGACAATCCAATACATAAATATTATTATGGATCTAACAAAACACTTCAAACAACTGCTTGATGACCATTGGACTTTCCTCAACGCTGGATGGCCAACAATTACACCACGTAATAATCATCGTACTGTAAGCAAGGAAATTGGGTATATGCCAGAAATAAAAGAAACCCTAAATCGACGCCTTGGTCCTATTCCAGTGTACTTCTTTCTTGCTGACATCTGGCCAAAGGTTAAGTATCCTGGTCCATACAAAGAAGTGGAGAAAGGTCTTTTAATGCTCTACCATCTTGTCAAAGGACTGTCTATGGAAGCAATGGAACCACACATGCCAAAAAGTAGTTTTCATGCAATGCACTCTGTGTTTTATAAGAAAGAATATACTTTGCACAACAAGTACATCACCAACTGTATTGCAACAATGTTCTCCACAATTAAAATACGCCTTTTGTCTGCAAAGGAAAAGAATCCTCCATTATTTAAGCATGTTACATTGCATCTTGATGGTCATGATACAAGAGCAACATACAAAGGTGAGAGTAGTGCTGATATGTACTCTTACAAGCTGAAAAAGTCAGGATTACGCACACAGGTAGCAATGGATTGTAATGGCATGGCTTTATTTGTCTCCAAATCTGCATCTTGCAAGAACAATGCTGATGGAACAATGCTGCTAACGATGAAGTTGGACAAGAGAGTGCATGAGATGGATTGCATTGCTCTCGATGGAGGGTATCCACAGTTCTTAAGGAGGCTTATAGATGAGTCTGACACTCTTAGAATCCAAAATTTCGCTCATCCATACCGTAAACAGAAGAACAAGGAACTTACACAGGAAGAAGCGTTATACAATACCACCTTTGGTAGTTTCCGCTCGCAGATGGAATCTCTGTTTGCAGACCTTGGTTCCACATTTGAGAAACACAACAACCGTACTCCTGTGTTGGTGGATAAGAAACAAACATATAATTTGCAGTTGAAGTTATCTTTGTTACTCTTAAACATGAAAAAGATGGTTGCTTTGTTGAAGATTTCTGCAGAACCAATTCATACAGCTTGGCTTCGCGAAGGATTCGAGTATCCGACGACAGAGAACGACGTTGAGCAACCAATGGGATATGTTGATGTTGGTGCGCTAGTGGAGGATGGAAATACAATGGCACAACTCCAGAACAAATTTCTTGGTATTAATCTTCATGGTGATGTTGATGTTAATGTTGATGAGGACACACCAATGGATCAAGCAGTAATAATGCAACCCGGTCTTTCCATTGAGCTTAGAGGTACGAAGCGACAAATGGATGTTAATGGTAATTTGTAGACTTATTGCAGGTTTTTAAAAGAATAGACATACATAGCCTATTTAGTCAGCGTTGAGATACGGTATTAACTGCCTAGACGCTAATATGCACCGGTATCTATTATTAAAAGTCATGGTATTATTGTAGTAGATCGGATGCTATTCTATGCTATTCTACAACATTCCTTTTTATTTAACAAAGAGGATAAACACATGTACAAACCTACGCCATAAAAGAATACATAAACACATGTACAAACCTACGTCATAAAAGAATACTACATTCTTAACCATTTTTAAACCCCGTCTTTAACGCCAAGCAGTCTTAATAAGCAAGATCTACGTCATACGAGGAACACTACGTTATTAACCACTTAGATGCCTTTTTAAAACTCTTTTGTTACTAAGCGCCAAGCAGTGTTAATAAGCAAGCGCTATTAATATCCAGTGTGGCAGTGTCCCATGAATTAGTATAAATAAAGGACTCCACTTCCCTCTTGCTTAATCTTTATCTTATCTAGTAACCAACCAACCATTATCCATATCTATACAACCATCCATACCTATACAACCATCTTTTATTGCAATTCTTTATATCAGTGTACTAAGCAGCTGCAATCTACCACACATAAACTGAAAAGTCATTCACACCCACCATATCACAAGTACAATCTATATCGTTCATATCCAAAAACATGCAGTACGTTCAGCTTACAATCGAGCTCATCACCAAGGCCTTCGAGACATTTTCTTCTAAGAAGGGAGTGGAGTTTACCAAGAAAGATGCAAATAAGATCTTTAAGGCGCTTGATGAGGATGAGGGAGTAGAGAGATACTACTTTTGTGGTGCAAAGTGCACCAAGTCCAAGCGCAAATGCATGAAGGAAGTTGATGATGAAGGCATGCATTGTTATGTCCACGATCCTGCGCGCAAGTGTCAAGGCACAACCATTAAGGGCGCTAATTGTGGTAGTGTAGCCAAACTTGGTGAAACATACTGTGGACGTCATCGAGAGCAGCATAAAGGTCATATGAAAAGCAGTAACAATAAGGCACCTGCCAACAAGCGTACCAAGTCTTCCAAGATAACCAAGAAGACACATACTCCTGAGTTTGTCCCTTCAGATGATGATATGACTTCCGAGGATGAAGAACCAAAGAAGCGAAAGAGAAACAAGCAGGAGTCATCGGATGAGGAGCCGTCCGATGATGATGAAGAAGATATAATTGCCGTCTCCTTTCCGTTGAGTCCAAAGGTAGTTGACATAACGTCCAAGAAAAATGTACCACTCGCTAATACAGGCATATGGATGCGTTATGCAACTAATCCAGCTTTCCTGTATGCAAAAAACTATACTGTAAATGGCAAGTACATTATTAAGCTGAAGGAAAAGGACCTCTACATTGTATTGTGTCCACCTGAGCTCATGGGGAAAAATCTTCCTGTACCGAAATTATCTGACAAAGAGGTACGTATATTACAAAAGATGGGACTCCAAGAGGCAACTCCTGCTGATGTAGAAAAAATAGAAGAGTCTTCTGCTGATGAGAATTCTGACGATGATACAGATGATGGTGATACGTCTGATGATGCTGGCTCTGACGATGATTCCCCTGATGATAAAGACTCTGATGATGGCAAGTCCAATAACAGACCTGATGTAGAATCTGGAGATGATACCTCTAAGGATAACCCTGATGAAAAACTATCTCATAAAAAGTCATCTAAGGATGATGAGAAGAAGACTTCTCGAAAGAAAAGGCATTCAGAGATGCCCAAAAATGCAGAGCCATCTTCTAATGTAGACGTTTCTAAGGATGGAAAAGATGAACATACATTTGCACTGGCCACAACGGTGCATAACATTAGATCAGAGAAAGACATAGCACGTGCGAAGGACAGAGGATGGATGATTCATCCTAATAACGACATGCTTGAGTATGCAACTAAGTTTACGATGAATGGCAAGTACATTGTCAGGCTATCTGGAAAGAATACATACGTTGGCCTGTTTACGCTTGATGCTCTGCGCGGTGTCGGTGATGTTCCAGAGTTGGATATCTTGGAACGCTCCATGCTTAGCAAGATGAAACTTCAACCATTGTCTGATGAAGAGAGAAAGACGCTTTTCAACGAGGAGATCGAAGTAGAAGAAGAAGTACCAGTAGAAGGACCAACAGATAAATCCAAGGTGATATGGAAAAAACTTAACAAGTACTTGGAATATTCCGAGAATGTACTTGTAAATGGAATGCACATTCTCAAGATGCGCAAAAAAGACACTGTAATCGGCTTGATGACTGATGACCATATTGCTGCAGAGAATGTAGAGTGTCATTCTCTTAGCCAGAAGGAAAAAGAGAAGTTGTTTGCTATGGGATTTAAACCGCATGAGCATAAGCAAAGCTTGCCACAGAAAGATGAGAGCACATGTGAGGATGATAAAGATGCTGAGGGCGATAAAGATGCTGAGGGCGATAAAGATGCTGAGGATGACAAAGATGCGGTGGGTGATAAAGATGCTGAAGATGACAAAGATGCTGAGGGTGATAACGATGCTGAGGATGACAAAGATGCTGAGGGTGATAACGATGCTGAAGATGATAAAGATGCTGAGGATGATAAAGATGCTGAGGATGTTATGTGGAAAAGGTACCCTAAAGATAAAAGCTCCTCGGGTATAATCGTCATAGATAAAGACGAAATTAAATGGACAACATGTTCGTTTGACAAGAAGCATGAATATGCAACCAACTACCTTTTCGACGGATGTCATCTGCTCAAGAGGTACGAAGAGGACATTATTGTTGGACTGCTGTATAAGATACCTGCAAACGGTGACAGTAACTATAGTCGAGACAAATTTACCAACAACAAACAAAAGCAGAAGTTAATTGCCATGGGGTTCACGATCGAGGAATTGCCTAAATTGTACTCTCCAGATGTAAAGTTTTGGTAGTTGTTGAGACAGATGAAGAGTAGATATTTTAAAAACTATCCAATTGTCAACAGTTGGCATTTGTGGTTGTATATATAGCATGAACTTTTTAAAAATGTAACATGTCTTCGACACTTCCACCTAGGAGGCCTTTCAAGTCCAAATTATCATATGGTGTTTGTTACATCTCTGCAGATCTTGACGATATCCACCGCGTCCATTAGAGGAGAGTGTATGTATGATATCAACCATTTAAAACAACCACTGTAACATTCCTTGCGCGATTATCCTACTAAACACAACTACATTCTCCAAACAACAAAGTCTTCTTATTTTTCGCTCACCAATATCTTGAATGTGTTCATCTACTATTAAACTGTAACCCTCACTGCAAGATTCGACAGAGTAGTTCTTGTATGTGATCATCTAAAGCACTTGTATTCTCAACTGTATCTTTGTCGTGAAATACAGGGGAGAGATTACATTTTAAAAATTCTTGTGCTGTCTATTGCTATTTTATTCTGTGTTCTGTTGCCCACTATGAAGAGATATGCCAGTTATGGAAGTCAACACTCCGTTCCTTGGACTTTGGATATTTTTTATATGCCTTTTTATATCCTCTGCACATGAAGGGGCCGCCAACTAGTGTAATGGCAGTACATCCATGCTCGCGCTTAAATGTCCTTATTTCGCCCAAAATAACTTTCTCTTTCCCATTTACCTCTTCTACATGTCCTTCCACAAAGTATATAGGTCTATTGTTAAAGGAATAGTTAGCCAGCAAAAGTGTAATAAGCTCGGGGTTCTTAAAGTTTTGCCACATATATCCATACTTCTTAGCGGCCCCTTCATGTGCAGAGGATATAAAAAGGCATATAAAAAATATCCAAAGCCCAAGGAACGGAGTGTTTACTTCCATAACTGACATATCTCTTCATAGTGGGCAACAGAACACAGAATAAAATAGCAATAGACAGCACATGTTTTTTTAAAATGTAATCTCTCCCCTGTATTTCGCCCCAAAGATACAGTTGAGAGTACAAGTGCTTTAGATGATGACATACAAGAACTACTCTGGCGAATCTTGCAGTGAGGGTTACAGGTTAATAGTAGATGGACATATTCAAGAGTGTGGTGTGCGAAAAATAAGAAGACTTTGTTGTTTGGAGAATAGGTTGGTGTTTAGTAGGATAGTTAAACAAAAAATGTTACAATGGTTGTCTTATATGCTTGGTATCATATATACATTCTCATCCCATAGTCGCTATGGATATTGTCGAGATCTACAGAGATGTAACAAACACCATATGATAACTTGGACCTGAAAGGCCTCCTTAGAGGTTACCGAATTCCACCAGTGACAATAAGCAAACAGTTTCTCATGTGGAAAATGTACAGCCACCATCGAGGTAATGCATTTTGCACGTTCCTCCCACTGCATCTCAAAGGAACATTTAAATGTTTTACATTTCTTCAAGAGATTCTTTGTCTTGTCCATTTCGTCTTGATATGACTGAAGAGATCTCAAAGATGAACCTTCAAACGTCAGCTCGATACGACTATAACCATGCTTTTTGGGAATCGTCTTGGGTCGAAATAGGTAAATATGTTATGGAATACCAATGGAAGTTGCAAGAATTTGTACAGACAATTATGGAAGGAGTTTTTAAAAAGATAACAAATATATCTATAAAGAGTACATATACAAAAGCAAAAGGATCCAAATGGACATAGTTATCTAGCAGTATTATAAGAGCAAAACGTAGGTAAAGAGTATCAACATAAACATATTTTACATCTCGGTTTTCGAGGAGGACAAAAGGTTGGAAAGCTTTTTTTTGGGCGAGGGAGTACCCAACCCACGCAGTGGAATATTAAAGTAGATCAAGAGTAGATTATAAAATAAGAGATACATAATAGGTCAACGTGGGGAATATATTTGTCGCGGATATCAAAGCCAATCTGTAAAACAAAATACACATCTAAATGGGAATCGTCTTGGGTCGAAATAGGTAAATATGTTATGGAATACCAATGGAAGTTGCAAGAATTTGTACAGACAATTATGGAAGGAGTTTTTAAAAAGATAACAAATATATCTATAAAGAGTACATATACAAAAGCAAAAGGATCCAAATGGACATAGTTATCTAGCAGTATTATAAGAGCAAAACGTAGGTAAAGAGTATCAACATAAACATATTTTACATCTCGGTTTTCGAGGAGGACAAAAGGTTGGAAAGCTTTTTTTTGGGCGAGGGAGTACACCTGTTTTCTCGTCTTTTGTTAAGCTATGCCCACCATTTCTTAATATGACATATCTGGGGAATTCTAGGGAATAATTGACATAATTACGTGTGTGTAATCCCTATTTTTGCAGAAAACGACATTATGGAGACTGATACCGTCGTAAACCCTACGCCAAAGAAACTTGCACGGCTGCTTGATAATCTGTTGGAGAACGAATGGGGATTTCTTGATGAACCGTGGCCAATGTGCCCAAAGGTCAAGACATTTCATCGTTCAGAGTTGAAACCAATTGCAAGAATACAGGATATGAAAAAGGTGTTGATGAAGAGACTTGGAGCCATACCAGTGTTTTTCTTTCTATCTACCATCTGGAGTAAACACTATTTCCCTGGTCCATATAACGCACTTGAGAAAGGAATTGCATTTCTGTACTTTTTCGTCGCTGGAGAGACTATGGATTCCATGGCACAGTATATGCCAAAGTCCACATTCCATTTGATATACAGCACATTCGTCAAGGTGGAACGTGCATTATTTGAGAAGGAGATTACACGCTGTTTTGCATCTATGTTCTCTTCGCTGGAAATTCGTATTCGAACAGCCAATTGGAAAAATCCCCCAATGTTCAAGCATGTAACTCTCTACTTGGATGGTCATGACTCTCGAGCAACATATGGGGAAGATAAAGCAGCAATGTATTCTTATAAGCTAAAGAAATCGGGTTTGAGAACGCAAGTGGCCATCGATGCCAATGGAATGGTTCTCTTTGTATCCAAATCAGCGTCATGTCGTGATAACAACGATGGGAAAATGTTACAAGAGATGGGCATTGGTAAGAAGATCAACAACATGGACTGTATTGCTCTCGATGGAGGATATACACAATACATTGCGGCCCCTTCATGTGCAGAGGATATAAAAAGGCATATAAAAAATATCCAAAGTCCAAGGAACGGAGTGTTGACTTCCATAACTGGCATATCTCTTCATAGTGGGCAACAGAACACAGAATAAAATAGCAATAGACAGCACAAGAATTTTTAAAATGTAATCTCTCCCCTGTATTTCACGACAAAGATACAGTTGGGAATACAAGTGCTTTAGATGATCACATACAAGAACTACTCTGTCGAATCTTGCAGTGAGGGTTACAGGTTAATAGTAGATGGACATATTCAAGAGTTTGGTGTGCGAAAAATAAGAAGACTTTGTTGTTTGGAGAATGTAGGTTGGTGTTTAGTAGGATAGTTAAACAAAGAATGTTACAAGTGGTTGTCTTATATGCTTGGATATCATATATACACTTCTCCTCTAATGGACGCGGTGGATATCGTCAAGATCTGCAGAGATGTAACAAACACCATATGATAATTTGGACTTGAAAGGCCTCCTAGGTGGAAGTGTCGAAGACATGTTACATTTTTAAAAAGTTCATGCTATATATACAACCACAAATGCCAACTGTTGACAATTGGATAGTTTTTAAAATATCTACTCTTCATCTGTCTCAACAACTACCAAAACTTTACATCTGGAGAGTACAATTTAGGCAATTCCTCGATCGTGAACCCCATGGCAATTAACTTCTGCTTTTGTTTGTTGTTGGTAAATTTGTCTCGACTATAGTTACTGTCACCGTTTGCAGGTATCTTATACAGCAGTCCAACAATAATGTCCTCTTCGTACCTCTTGAGCAGATGACATCCGTCGAAAAGGTAGTTGGTTGCATATTCATGCTTCTTGTCAAACGAACATGTTGTCCATTTAATTTCGTCTTTATCTATGACGATTATACCCGAAGAGCTTTTATCTTTAGGGTACCTTTTCCACATAACATCCTCAGCATCTTTATCATCCTCAGCATCTTTATCATCTTCAGCATCGTTATCACCCTCAGCATCTTTGTCATCCTCAGCATCGTTATCACCCTCAACATCTTTGTCATCTTCAGCATCTTTATCACCCACCGCATCTTTGTCATCCTCAGCATCTTTATCGCCCTCAGCATCTTTATCATCCTCACATGTGCTCTCATCTTTCTGTGGCAAGCTTTGCTTATGCTCATGCGGTTTAAATCCCATAGCAAACAACTTCTCTTTTTCCTTCTGGCTAAGAGAATGACACTCTACATTCTCTGCAGCAATATGGTCATCAGTCATCAAGCCGATTACAGTGTCTTTTTTGCGCATCTTGAGAATGTGCATTCCATTTACAAGTACATTCTCGGAATATTCCAAGTACTTGTTAAGTTTTTTCCATATCACCTTGGATTTATCTGTTGGTCCTTCTACTGGTACTTCTTCTTCTACTTCGATCTCCTCGTTGAAAAGCGTCTTTCTCTCTTCATCAGACAATGGTTGAAGTTTCATCTTGCTAAGCATGGAGCGTTCCAAGATATCCAACTCTGGAACATCACCGACACCGCGCAGAGCATCAAGCGTAAACAGGCCAACGTATGTATTCTTTCCAGATAGCCTGACAATGTACTTGCCATTCATCGTAAACTTAGTTGCATACTCAAGCATGTCGTTATTAGGATGAATCATCCATCCTCTGTCCTTCGCACGTGCTATGTCTTTCTCTGATCTAATGTTATGCACCGTTGTGGCCAGTGCAAATGTATGTTCATCTTTTCCATCCTTAGAAACGTCTACATTAGAAGATGGCTCTGCATTTTTGGGCATCTCTGAATGCCTTTTCTTTCGAGAAGTCTTCTTCTCATCATCCTTAGATGACTTTTTATGAGATAGTTTTTCATCAGGGTTATCCTT